GTCAATATATTAATAGTCTTTATCTCCTGGTGGTTAAGGTGATATTTTTTTCTACTTATGTTTTCTACAGTGTAATATATTAACTGCTATATTTTCTTTTAAGTTTAAAAAAGAAAACAATTTTAAAAGCCAATAAAAATTATTAATTTTGTGTGGTCAAGTTAGAGCCTTGAAAAATGGGGAAAGATCAGAAAGTAACTTACTGCATCTTCTGAATCTCATCTTCATCCACTTTCTGCTTCTTCTCTTTCTTTTCTTTGGTATCTATTTTCAGTTTTTTGGCTGCAGGAGTAAGTAATGATGAGTCTTCCCTTTCAATTGCTGTTAAATCTGAGATGTCCTGACTCTTGAGCTAAGAAGATGAAAGAAACCCTGTTATATATTTGGCCTCCTTTTCAGGTTTGGGCAAGAAGATATCATCCTTATTATAACAACACAACAAATCCACTTATTGAACAGTTTTTTGGTTCTCAGCAGTGGCCATTATCAGTAACTATAAGATACAGTATTGCTCTACTAAAGTTTACAGGCCAACTGTGGAAAGAAGAAAACTGGCTAAATAATTCAGTTTTCCAGTTTAGCTATGATCATAGCTTCAGTATCTGTTTATGAGAGTAAGGAAATATCAAGGATCACAAAAACCACTCTCCCCTTGGGCCTGCTCTCCTGATCTCATTCTTTAGAGGGGATGCCAGCAAAGTCTTCTCCATCTAGTCAGTTCTTCTGCCTCTAGATCTATAGATCTCCTTACTACTGATGATTTCAAAATGGAAAGAATATTAAAGAGGCCCCTTCTCATCAAAACAACAGTGTTTCTTTCAATTTGGAATTTTAAAGTGAGTTGTTGCCACATGTAGCCCCCTTTCTTCCTACCCATCTTTTCTACGACATCATGCAAACTTTTATTTTCCTTTACTAGAATGAAAACTATTGAAGATAGTCTCTTATTGTTTATAAATCTCCCCCATAAACATTTAACATAGTTCTACTCGTGCTAATTGTTCAATAAAAGTCTGTTTAATTAAAAAATACATATATACAAACTTTAACCTCTCCAAGTTAATACAGAATCTAAGGGTACAACAAAACTCACGAATGAGATTTAACCTGTTTACCTTAAAGAGGAATTCACATT